ATTGTTTTTACATGAAACTATAGTCCCTAACTAAATATCTGTTACTACTGTACATCACATCTTTTTAGTACAGATGAAATATTGTCTTGAACAGTTAGCATCAGAGCCAGAACTATTCATTTATAATATGAATTTTGTAATGATAGAAGCACGCTATAAATAAATAACCCTGTGAAAGAACATCAGTACATCTACTGATCAAACAAGACCAGTGAAGCACATCAAACCATGTCAAGCGATAGCACTAATCATGAAGAAAAAAAACATCAAGCGATATCAAACGGGAAGCTGTCAATAAGATGGAAACTAAAGTGAACTTCTGTTTTTTTGCCCTTTGGCTTTCCAATGTCTTTTGGTGGTCATCAATCCATTTTTAAAATCCGTGTGCAACCTCACAGCCCACACAGTGTAAACAGCCAGGGGCGATTCTCTACAAGGTGAGCAAACACTGGGGCCTCTCTATTCACCCCTGGCATAGGGCAGGTTGAAATATATACCTCACTATTGCAGGTGCATGGGGCAGTACCACAAGGTCAGGTGCTCTTTGGGCAAAGCGTTGCACTGAGAAAAGTCTGACTTGTAGATGCATCTTTGCATCTCTGCTCAATTTTTCATTGAGACTGATTGACAGCTCATTCTCTTTGTGCAAATCCACCTAAAAAAAAAACATACACATTTATGTTTAATGGAGCAAGGCCTTGCATTATTTTCAAATTCATGTTTCACAACTACAAGTTTTGCACTGTTCAACAAAACAAAACATCTTGGAGATTCTCAAGTGAATGAATTTGGTCGGTTTGAGCGGGAAAAAATGGCCAAGGGCATTATATCTGTCCACTGGTTTTTATCAGTGTTTCTACACATGTGACACTGCACAATGCCATGAGAACAATAGCGTAAGCTGCTTTGTTGAAGCCATTGTTGGTCGCAAACAAATTTGTGTACCTAGGAAACAGAAAAAAAATAACTTTTTTATAGGCATAATTGAGATTTGAATTCAAGAGCTGAACTCCTCTGGCAACAGTGAGAAAGGTTAGGCCATCACTAATGAGCATGCTTTGCTTATGGCTTTGTTCATATTCAGTGGACTTATTTAAATAGATTTAGCAGCTGGTGGTGGGCCGGTCTGATGACACAATGTTTGTTTCTGCCAAACTCTGAAGAAGCAATTTAAGCTTTAACAATTCACCACATTACACATTCTCATTCTTTTCAATATGCTTAAATAATGCAAAGAAAAGCCAATCGCATGCAATTGTTTGACAGTGCTCACCGAACTGAGCACATGCTGCTGTACGATTTTGAATAAGTGATTAATCCCTCTCACCTTTTGTTGACGTACAAAGCACCGAGTGAGTACATCAGGTTATTATGAGACCAGACCTCTGAGGTTTAATACTGACTGAAACATTAAAAGTCACCAGACTGCATGAAAGTAACCTTTCATTGCCTTTCACTGACTTTTAGTTCTAATCCAGCAAAGTCAGAACAAGATCTTTAATTCAATTTATGTATTGAATTTTGAACTGATACGGAACTGCATTTCTGAAGTTCACAATGTGAGCAAAACAAAACGTTATATCAACTTCAAAAGCATCCTGAGGAGAATTTCCAGAGGATAGACCATATCTAGCAATACCACACTTTTGCTTCCCTGAACAGTTCAAAAAGGGCAAACAAGCATACAGAAACACTGAAAATAATAAACTCAAGCAACCACTGACATTTCTCTCGGCCATAAGGCTTGTATCTGACATCTCAGGGATTTCAAACAAATACATTCAGAAATTTTGTCTCTTTAAATTTGTTATGTAAACTCAATAAATAAATTAACAGCAATAATAATTAAACATTTTCTACAACTCCTATTTTGCTGCTTATTAATAGTTAGTAAGGTAGTTGTTAAGTTTAGGTATGGGTAGGATTAGGGATATAAAATATGGTCATGCAGAATAAGGCATTAATATGTGTTTTATAATTACTAATAAACAGCCAATATGCTAGTAATATGCATGTTGATAAGCAACTAGTTAATAGTGAGAATTGGTCCCTAAACTAAAGCGTTACCCATTTAAAAAAATCTTACTGACCCCAAACTTTTGAACAATAGTAGGGTATATAGTTCATCTGCTGTGCAAAATACACAGGAATGTATTTCATTCTATTCTTGATTTCAGATGTTTTATTTTCTGCTTTCTTTTGTTATCTATTCATACAAACCTCTGCTATCGTCCTACCATTCAGCCAAATAATATCAGACAGAGCATAAGAGCATGAAACATATTTCTTATGGGCTTATGGGACACTGTTATGACTAGAAAGAAAATCCTTTATAAACACAGGTTTGATTATATTTTCTAATAAAGTTATTTTTAGACCCTCTGAGCGTTCTCTCACCTATCCAACATCACACTCCTCTCATAGCATCGTCCCCATGGCAACATATTTGTCTGATTTGAATAATTAAACGCACATAAGTAAAACAACAGTAGCTTTACAGATGTAGAAGTAGACTTATGACAACTTACAGTCCTAAAGGGTCCCAGCTGGAGCTAATTTTTAATCAATCAGTCCGAGTTTAGCATAGAAATGTTGACATAAACTGCTTCTGTGTACATCTATGTGGCACAGTATACAGTGCCTATGCTGACCTAGTAAAGGGGGATACAACTGGGGTCCACGACCTCTAGGGGCTCCATGGCGGTACTGCAGGGGACCACCTGAATTTTTAGCAGCCATTACTCCAGTCTTCAGTGACACATTATCCTTCAGAAATCATTCTAATATGCGTATTTTTTGCTCAATTATTATCAGTTTTTAATGGTTATTATTATCAATGTTTAACACAGTTTTTGCTAGTTAATATTTTTGAGGAAACTGTGAAACATTTTTTCAGGATTCTTTGTTGAATAGAGAGTTCAATGAAAGAGTTAGTTATTTGAAATAGGTAGAAATCTTTTGTTACATTATAAAGGTCTTCACTGTCATTTTTGATTATTTTAATGTGCACTTGGTGAATAAAATAATTTGTTTCCACAAAAATATTAGGCATCAAAAACTGTTTTAAACATTGACAGTAGTAAGAAACATTTCATGAGCACCAAATCAGCACATTAAAATGATTTCTGAAGGATCATGTGACTAGTCCTGAAGGGTCATGACATAAGTTTAGCTAAATGTTTCATTGTTCCTACCACATCAAAACATATTAAGTAAAATTGTAAAATATGTAATGCAAAAGTATATGGCTAATGTAAGCATCTTAATAAAGCGTAAGAGTAAATACAATCTGATAGAAATGGAAGACAGCCAGGCTTAAAATGCAACACTAATTCTTACACAATATGTCACTGAGGGTCCCTGTCCCATCTCTCAATCCTTGGCCTGAAATATATAAAAGATTTCTAACCTATTGTATCCAAGTCTTTAAGTCTGACAAATTTTGTTGTTGTTGTGTTATGTTCATAATAACAGCAGATTGTCAAAGTAGGATCTTGCATCTCTATCTCACTGAATACTGTCTATACCAGGGTTCCTCAAATCTTGCCCTGGAGGGCCAATGCGCTGCAGAGTTTAGCTCCAACCCTGATCAAACACACCTCCCTGTGGTTTTCTAATGATCCTGAAGACATTGATTAGCATGCTCAGGTGTGTTTGATTAGGGTTAGAGCTAAACTCTGCAGGAAAGTGGATCTCGTGGGCCAGATTTGAGGATCCCTGGTCTATACTGTATGCTGTTGAATGCTGAGAGCTCCAAACTTATATTTTTCTCTACTTTAGCCAACTCTTTAACTCCAACAAACACAACATGACATCCAAGATCCATGTCACCCAAATCCTGTATCTTCAGACAGCACTGGAGACTCATCTGACACACTAGATATCTGACACCATGACCCTCATGAAACCATAGCTCATTTGACAAATTATATGGGACGTTTCTAACTAATATACCGACCAGACACACCAGCAGCCGAAATGAATCATTAAATTAGTTGTTTGTCTTCCTGACATGAATGTTTTGCTAGTAGCTCATTTACCAGCCACTTACCACCGGCTAGTTTGGGTATTCTTCCAATTTTGTTGGTTATATCCGCAGTGAGGGTGCCAAAGTCCTGCTCGTACGCTTCAAAATCCGAAGACATGTTGTATTTTTGTTTTAAAAGATTAAAAAAAAGGATGAACTGGGCTGCGCTATACACTGTTGCTTGTGTCTTCTTCTTATTGACGTCCGCGTCACTTCCGGGTGGTGCTACGGGAATTTGTTCACGATCTCTTCCTGTAAATGGTTCCGCTGTGGTGTAATTCGCGCGTGTATTTGTATTATCTTTCTCGTTGAATTGTGTTTTTGTTATTTAAAAAAAAGATTTCGCTTCTGACAATATTACCTGCGTTAAATAGCAAGTTAATCGATTCATATTAAGCGTGGCTGTCAGTTTTTCTTAGACGCTCATCGCACAAGGAAATGTCGAGGTAGGTGTTAACGATTAATTTTTCATTTTCAAAACCGTCTCTTCAGGAATCAAAGCTAAATAACTTGATGTCTTAATAATGAAAGATACAAAACTTCATATATGTCTCTATTAGTAACACTGACCTTTATCGAGGCGTATGTCATTGATTGAAGGTCTGATATCAAATGAATTGGTCATTATAGAGATAAAGCTCATTTCTTCAGTTACTCTGTTTTCTTCTGTATTGTAATGCAATATTGCGATATATATGTAGAATTAAATTGAATGAACTCTGAAATCATTTAAATGGGATGTTGCGTAATAGAGAGCCGATTCAGTTCATGCAGACTGACAACAACTTGATAGAGTTTCTGAGTTTCTTCTGGTGCTGAACATGTTAAAAATCTTGTTCTTTCATTTATTTGTTTAACCACAATCCAAAGGTAATACGAAACAGATAAATAAGTTTAACCTAAATGATGTAATACAGGAGCATAGAAACCAGTTTTGGGTGTGCCATGAGAACTCAAGTGGTGCAGCCACTGAAGAACTATAATTTACTAATAGTCCGGATTTCTCTTTAGACCTGCTTTATGTTATAATGACATTACTAAACAAACTGGGCTTAGTATTTAGACATAGAACTAGTGATGTAGGACACAAATGGATAAGCATAGTGTGATTGCATTTTTGTGTCGTAAAGACAATTAGTTACAATGTAAGTAGTTGCAATGTCATCACATTAGATAGATAGATAGATAGATATGAATTGGTAAATAATATATATATATAAATGCATATTTATCTGTCCATGTCTCTGTCTGTCTGTCTGTCTGTCTGACTATAGTTATAGATAGATCTATCTATCAATCAATCTATCTATTTCTTCGATCTATCTATCTATCTATCTATCTATCTATCTATCAGATCCCATATTCATTTGTCAAGTTATACAGAAATAAACTGGAACGAAAGTTAACTGTGGTATTTTGACTTAAATTATGGTTACCATGTTAACATTTTGTGTGAGGTGAGTCATTTGGATTCTGTCTTCCTCTTCCATGTTTTTTGTTTTCTCCACCTGCCTTCTCTTCAGATGGATGGCTAGGCTTTAGCTCGAGGATAGGGCGATCAGAGGATTAGTACGGAAGGATGCCACACGCTGACAGAGTCTGGAGCTCTAGGAAACGGCTGGCCCCTGTGACTGGTGACGTAGCGGATCGCTGGTTGTTTCGGAGAAGACAGAAAAGATGCCCTTTGACCTCTTTAAGTCACTGCAGTAAACATAGACAACACGCCTGACGACTTCATCTGTTACATTGAGGACCTTAAAGACACCGAAATCCACCGAAACAATGAATATTCTGTCTGCTATAATTGTGTTTGAGAACCTCCATGAGGTCAAGAGGCTGTTCCACTGGGGTCCGATCATCGCTCTGACGGTCATCGGCGTGTGCTCCTCCATGGCCATACTGGACTCCATCATCTGGTACTGGCCACTGGACACCACTGGGGGCAGCATTAACTTCATCATGCTCATTAACTGGACTGTCCTCATTCTTTACAACTACTTTAATGCCATGTTTGTAGGCCCTGGTTACATTCCACTGGAGTGGAAACCGGTAAGTCTGTTTTGGGCTGTTTTCAGAAGGTTACAATTTTTTAAAAGAAGTCTTTTATTCTCACCATATATTATTATTATTATTATTACAATATTATTACAATTGCAATTTAAAATACTGTAACTGTTTTCTATATTACATTATTTTTTAAATGTAATTTATTCCTGTTATGGCAAAGCTGAATTTTCAGCAGCCTTTACTCCAGTCTTCGGTGTCACATGATCCTTCAGAGATCATTCTAATATGCTGATTTGGTGCTTGAGAAACATTTCCTATTATTATCAATATCGAAAACAGTTATGCTGCTTAATATTTTTGTCCAAAAATGTGATGTGATGTGATTTTTTGATGAATAAAAAGTTCAAAAGAACAGCATTTATTTTAAATAAATATTTTGTAACATTATAAAAGTCTTTACTGTCATTTTTAAATCATTTAATGCATCCGTGCTGAATAAAAGTATTAATTTCTTTCCAACAAAATCTTTTTTAACTTTTTATACAGTACTTTTTAACAGTATTGTATACAGAGATTTTAAAGCATGTGTCTGTTTTATGATATTGTCTGTTTTCTAACGGTGTCTGCAATCAGCATGTCTAATATGACTTATGTTGTTGTTTGTGTTTTCTAACAGGAGAATCAACAAGATATTATGTACTTACAGTTCTGTAGATTGTGCCAAGGCTATAAAGCCCCAAGGTCACATCACTGTCGCAAATGTAACAGGTAGATTTGTTTAAAAAAACAGGCTAGTTTCTATTAATATGGATGCATTTTAAAGCTGAAGTGTGTCATTAAAAAAAACTATATCTTTTCCCATCCCACTTTAATATGCTAAGACAGTTAAGCCATTTGTAGGTTGATTTCCCTCAAAAATACAATCTCAACCAACCAAACACAGCAACGTTGGCTCAACCAGTGGTGTTAGTTTGGGGCGGGACTATTATTTTGTCGACCATTTCAGGAAACCTGTTTGAAACCAATTATTATTGTTGCATTTTCATTTTGATGACAGCAGAGGCGCATAAATTACAGACTTCAGCTTTAAAGGCATAGTTTAGAAAAAAATTAAAATTCTGTTCATATTGTTTCAAACCTGGAGACCCCAACATTCTCTAAAATAGTCATAAAGGTTTGAAACAATGTGTGTAAATGATGACTGTTTATTTGAATGAAATTTCATTTGGGGTGAATTCATTTATTATTAAACCATTATTTGCTTTATATATCAAAAATGTATAATTAATATAAAAAAGTTTCTTCCCTCAGGTGTGTGATGAAGATGGATCATCATTGTCCCTGGATCAACAACTGCTGTGGTCACTTGAATCATGCGTACTTCACCAGCTTCCTCCTGCTTGCTCCACTGGGCTGCATACATGCTGCGCTAATATTCATCATGACCATGTACACTCAACTTTATGATCGGGTAAGTGTTTTCTCACATTATTTCTTCTCATTTTTGCTGGAATTTATTCTAATAACGTGCAATAACTGTTGTACGGACACATAATGTACACGTAATGTAAAATATTACCTGAAAACATTAATTCAGGAATGGCTAAGATGGGCTTCTGTTGAAATGTTCATACATTTTGTGACTAATGCTCGGGCTCGAATTTTCTTACTCGTGGTTGTTGTGATGATGTGCTGCCCATTTTCTTGGCTGTAGATCTCATTTGGCTGGAGCTCAGTGAAGATTGACATGAGCGCTGCTCGGCACATCCACCATCCCTTCATGCCTTTCAGCATTGCAGCATTTGCAGCCACTCTCTTTGCACTGGGACTGGCACTGGGTACCACTATTGCTGTTGGGATGTTGTTTTTTATTCAGGTAGGACATGATTTGTCATTTTGAATTGACTGCACTTCCTTTCTTTGCTTCTTTATTTTCTTTCACAAAAAAAGGTCTGTTTAATCCATAGCTTGCTATATAAGTGAATTTTGATCAGAAATTTTCTTTTCTTTTAGATGAAGGTGATTCTACGAAACAAAACCTCAGTAGAAGCATGGATTGAGGAGAAAGTAAGCTTGTTTACAGTATGCTTATCAGCTAAATGAGGTAAACTAATCCAATATCCCTCCTCTAATACAAGAGGATACAAGATACAATCCAATACAAAGCAACACTCTTTCAAGAGTAGTCCTTTAAAGACTTCCCTGAACTATGAGCACTTAGTGTCATCAACATCTACAAACATAGAGGTGCTAAATGTCTTTTTAATTGACCAGTACCTCAAGTTCAAGAATCTAGACAGCTGGAAATCAATATACAATACTGTTCAAAAGTCATTTCGATTTTTAAAAATATATATATATATTTTGAAAGAAGTCAGTTATTGTCACCAAGACTGCATTTATTTGATCAAAACTACAGTAGAAAACAAACAAACTGTAATTTTGTGAAGTATTATTACAATTTAATTTAGTATTTAATATTTAATAATACTTTTTTCAAGATTCTTTGATGAAGAAAAGTTCAAAAGAACACAATTTATTTGAAATAGTTTAAAATTTTAAAAGTCTTCATTCTCACTTCTGGTCAAATTAGTGCATAATTGATAAATAAAGGTATTAATTTTTTTTTTTTTTTTTTTACTTACGGACCACAAACTTTTAGACGGTGGTATAGTCATTCAGAATTTATGTTTAAATAATTTTGGGTAACACTTTATTTTAAGGTGTCCTTGTTACACATGTTACATGTACTTACTATTATAATAACAATTAATTATGCATAATTACATGCAAGTAACCCTAAACCAAATCCTAATCCTAACCATATGGTAAGTACATGTAGTTAAGTAATATTACTCAGTACTTATATGTAGAATTACACTGTAACAAGGACACCTTAAAATAAAGTGTAACCTAATTTTGAAATTCCCTTGAATTGTTACTGAAATTAATTGTCCTTAAATTGTCCTGCAGTAATGTTTCATTTTGAAGAATAATGTATGTGTAATATTTCAGTTATAAGGTATTCAAATTCATAATGTAATAATAATTACAAAGTAATAAAATAATAGCAAAATGTAGTTTATATAGTACTTTAAAATAGAGTTTAGCATATAGAACAAAAATATTGCATGTTGACTCTCCAAATGCACATGTACTGTGTAAAAATTCAAATCATGTATTTATTGGGTCTTTGTGGCTAGATGAGACCTTATGGAAGCATAGAACAAAAGACCACCTCTGAATTCAGTAAGTCATGTGGGGTTTATTACATTAAAGCAAGAATCTCTGTGTTCCCAGGCCAAAGACAGAATCCAGTACTATCAAACAGGTGAAGACTTCATCTTCCCCTATGATCTGGGCAGTCGATGGGAGAACTTCAAGCAGGTGTTCACCTGGTCCGGGACCCCCATAGGAGATGGAAACGAATGGCCTGTGCATGAGAAGTGTAACCAGTACACTCTAACCGTATGTACTCAACATAATACGTATAACAGATCATTCTTTAGGTATTATATTTCAGTCTAATACAGCTCTATAGCACAGTTTGTAATGATATTTTTGGTTGCTCTTTATTCAGATTGAGCAGCTGAAGCAAAAACATGATAAACGTCAGAGGAGTGTGAGTATTGCCATAATCACTTTTAAACACTAGAGGGCAGAATTTACTTAAGGACTGACACAATGGTGACCCTCTATTTAAACAGGTAGAGTACAGAGTGGTGGAGGACTACAATGGCGCTTGTTGCCCGTTGGGAAAGGGACTAAACACTTTCTTTAGAACACCTTGTACAGAGGAACCCAGGATCAAACTCACAAAGGGGGAGACCATCTTTGCTACAAGAGGAACAAAGTGAGCCGTCTCTTTTAGTATATAATATAATATAATGTTTGGGGTCACTCAGTAAGACTTGTTTCTAACAAAATTAATTATTTTATTCATCAAGGATGCATTCAATTGATCAAAAGTAACAGTAAAGACATTTATAATGTTACAAAAAATTATATTTCAAATAAATGCTGTTATTTTGAACTTTCTATTTATCAATGAATCCTAAAAAATGTATCGCTGTTTCCACAAAAATTTATTTTTTTTCTCGATAATAATAAAATATGTTTCTTAAGCAGGAAATCAGCATATTAGAATGATTTCTGAAGGATCAGAAATCATGGAGTTATGACTGCTAAAAAATTCAGCTTTGCCATCACAGGAATAAATTGAAAAAAAAATTACAATATATTAAAATAGAAAAAAGTTATCTTAAATTGTGATAATATTTCAAAATATTACTGTGTTTACTGTATTTTTGATCAAATAAATGCAAACTTGATGAGCATAAAGCATTTTTTTTTTTAAATCTTACTGACCCCAAACATTTGAACAGCAATAAAAAAATGTTTAGGTACTGATGTTTAGGGATAAAAAAAAATTTCTTTTTAATTAACAGGTGGTGGATGTATGGAGACAAAGTTTTGAATGAGGAACAGGCTAATGGTAAAGTTTTCAACATGTTATATGATCAAATTCAGTAATTAAAAAGTTTCATGAGTTTGATGTTTTAAATCATATCTCTTTCTATAGCTGGAGTTCGAATTAGAGGATGGTTTCCACGGCGATGTGTTGAGAAGTGTCATTATGACTCGGCGAATAATTCGGCAAGTGAAGAAAAGAAACAGCAATGATACAGAATTATATATATTTCACAGCTCGCTTTGAACAGAGGACCTAATATTAGGGCCTGAACCCTGCTGAGATGCAAATTTCTTTCTGATTCTTTTGTAAAGCTGTTCAATGGCACCAGCGCTAAGTGTTGAAGCAAACTGATACTGACAGACGCCCCAAAGTTATTAACTTGCATAACTTAATAACATTTCATTTCCAAAGAACAGCTGCCAGAGAAACTGGCAAATGAGAAAGAAAAAGGGGTTTTATTAAAATGGGATTGGGGCATGCATAGAGCAGCATATTCTTTAAAGGGGGTTATTAAGATGTCTACTTGAAACTTATTTCTTCTTCTTGCCTTTCTCTTACTCGTTTGCTCTCTCTTGTTTATTGATGCCCACACTGATTATGCAAAGCCTTTTTTCCAGTTGTAACAAGGTCTTTGTCATGCAAATTGTCTGAATTGTTTATATAATTGAAACAACAATTCTGTTTTATTTCTGATGGCTTACTTTTTTGTAAAACTGATGTCAACCTCGCTGAAGTTTTCAGAGACAAATAAACAACCGTGATCTGTATAGTAATTTCGTAATTATATTTTCTTCGTATTTTTAATGGAAAACAAACCACAAAATTAGTTTCTACTCCACAGAGCACCTATATGTAAATATAATTGTTTATTTAATTGATGTATTGACATTGACATTAATGTTTCACATTTTCGTCCTTGGAAAAAAAAAATGTAACATTCTTTGGTATTCATTAAATCTTTTAAGGCTGTTCGTACATGTGTTTTATAATAATATATCCAGACGAAGCATATGTCTTTTTGACTGACAATGAGAGTCTCTTGGGCACAGATTAATACATGCATTTAAGGCTGATACAGTGCTTACAAAATATTTAATCTTTGAGCAAATATAGAAAAACATCACAACACAAACAGCACTCATAAATACATGGTCACAATGCAGGCTATCCTCAGCATTCTTTTAATGCACTACATGTTAGCATAAAGACTCTCGATCTGAACTTTAAAGAATTTAGTGAGATCTGCCCGTTTGGCTTTCAGTGTTGGAGTGAGGAGACCGTTTTCTATAGTGAACATGTCGGGATGCAGGAACAGGTCTTTTACCTTGAAAAGAGAACATAACTATATTAGACGTTCAATTAAATGAAAAGAAAACCACACAATGCATCAAAATCCAACGACTTATTTGTTCATAATCATTTTGGACTGTTTTCACTTGTAAACAGTGCTTGATCTGTGCATATATCTTCAGTCTTGATGGATTACAAAAACGTAGCTTTTTGCTTCGCAAGACATTAATTGATCAAATGGAGTTGTGGATTATTGTGAAGTTTTTATCAGTTGTTTGGACTGCTGACAGCACTCATTCACTGCCAAGGATCCATTTTCAGCAGATTTTCATTTTTGGGAGAACTATTCCTTTAACAGTAATATATGCTAATAATAGCCTATTGGATCATAAAAGTGCTTACTTGTTCAAATGACTTCAGCCCTGCTGCACGCCCCAGCTTGTTGAGGTCAGAGATGATTGCTTTCTTTATTTCCTACAAAATAATGAAGATTATTGAGCAAAACTTAATACGTAACTATTTTGTAAATGTCACACAAGTAAACTAGCAGACATCTTTCAGAGTGAATTTTTTCATAAGGGCTGCATGCCCGTATTTTCGAAGGTAAAGTATGTAAATACAGCGTACCTGGTTTTTACAAAGCTCCTCTAGTGAACCTTTCACTCCCAGTATTTCTGCAAAACCTGGCAATACTTCAGGGTCTGGCACCACTATGGCCACCAAAGAGAACTGGACGCATTCAATTGTATTAGGCTACATAATAATAAACTTCAAAATGTAAAACCAGAATTTTTATCATCAGAAATAGCAAGGAATTCATATTAATTTCACCTGTAAACTGTCACCATGCACAAACACTTGGGCGACTGGAGAGCTCCGAATGTAAACGTTTTCAATCTTTTCTGGTGCAATGTATTCACCTTGAGCCAGTTTGAAGATGTTTTTCTTCCTGTCGATGATCTTCAGCACTCCACTCTGGTAAATTGAACAAAATATAACTTCCATAAACATAACTGTTACCTTTTACTCTATTTCTTACAAATACACCACCATATTAATTTGAGGTCTCGATTTTGTCATGATTTTTTAAATGTTTTTCAAAGACGTCTCTTATGCTCACTAAGGCTGCATTTATTTGATCAAAAATACTGTAATAATGTGAATTTAAACTAAATGTTTTCTATTTGTATATATTTTAAAATGTCATTTATTCCTGTGATGGCAAAGCTGAAATTTCTGCAGCCATTACTCCAGTCTTCAGTGTCATATGATCCTTCAGAAATCATTCTAATATGATGATTTGGTGCTCAAGAAACATTATCACACTTGAAAACAGTTGTGGTGCTTAATATTTTGTGGAAAACATGAAATCTTATAGAGATATTTTGAAACATCATAAATGTCTTTAGTACATGGTAGTGTACGATATATTAATGTATTTTGGGGAAAACAGGGTCATGAGCTTGTTTCTTGGAGTTTATTACCATTATATTATTTAAACAAGAATATTAAGCCTCTTCCTCATTTTGGAGCTAAAGATCATGCACGTATTTTATTCAGCATTGAGTTTTGTGATTTTGGGTCCTTGGCTGCCTGCTGATATCACAACACGATATGCCTACACATCTCCTTCCTTCTAAGGTGCATTATTAAAGACAGAGTTAGTAAATGAATTCAAATGTAAATGTAAAATATTGTCATATTTCATTATACACAAGGGATCTCACAGGCAGCCATTTGCCGATATCTCCAGTGTGCAGCCATCCATCTTTGTCCAAAGCCTCTGCTGTCTTTTCTGGGTCATTGAGATATCCACAAAACACATTCTTCCCTTTGACACAAACCTAAAATGAAACACCAAAGCTATAAGACGTTTCAATGACATTTTGGTATATGGTTTAGAAAATGATGTTCCATTACCTCTCCTTCACCGTTGGATGCAAAGTAATTCATTTCCTCCACATCAACAAGTTTGACAATATTACATGGAATAGGAACTCCAACATGACCTGAAATCAACAGTATATGAAATAAGTCAGTGCTATGTGTTGTTTCACACACACACACACACACACACACACAAAACATGATTTTCAGTTACAGGAACCCACTAGTATGCCAGTCTCCCGGTATGGTGAAAGAGCAGGCCGCAGTGCACTCTGTTTGGCCATATGCCTCGAATATCTGGAAGCAGGCCAGTGATAAAGGGGTCAGCACTGGGTCACTGTGACACCAGATCAATACACATACATACACACCCTGCTTTGACAGTGGGCATGTTTATTAAGTACACAGTAAAGCACCACTGCATCACATTGTCTTTTATAAGCCAAAACAGAAGCAATATATTTCATCAATTTTGGTGTTATACTCCCATTTCTTCATTCCTTACCTGGCACCCGAGGCTTGCCCGGAGAAAAGTGAGCACAGTTGGAGAAATGGGAGCAGCCCCCGTCACCATCACCCTCACGCGGCCCCCCAGAGATTCCTGCAGAAGACAATTCAAAACTTTTCCAGAACCATTCCTCACAGGAGCACCACTCTTCCCCAACAAGTTCAAAAACCCTCCCATGTTGGGGATACCTGCACTTTGTGAAAGATAAGTTTGTCCCATATGCTGTCATTCCTGATAATGCCCTGCTTGACCTCTGCACATTTCTTCTCAATGGCAAAGTTCAGAAGCCATTTCTTAAATGGAGTCTGAGCTCCACTATGAACCTGGAAGGCAGCAGAAAGCGAACAATAAAAGGCATATAGAGCTATTTGTTGGTGCTCTGTGTGTAAATGCATATTTAACAAACTCGTAAGTGTTAAACATTGGTGGGTAACTCATCCCACATGTTTGTGCTATGGATGTGAATCAAACCTCTTTAATATAATTCTGAGTTTTGACACTGTGACAAATGATGAGCTACAGAACATTTTGTTGATTGGTTGGTTTATATTACTACTGTGTTATGCTTTGTATCTCCGCCCACTAATCTGAGTACCGCAAGGTAATCACAGCTGTGCTGATACAGATAATTATAAACTATAATAAACAAGAAGTTAAAATTAAATAACTTGATTTAGACAAAAATATTCCCAGTTATTCCCAGGCACAGCATAATCAACCATCAAGCATCAGCGCAAGCACCATAGTGGTGTCTTATCCTTGAATAAATCACAGTTTTTGAAAAAATCGGTTGAATGAACAATTCAATGACTCACTTGTAAAAAAAAAATAAAAATTACTAGTTTCATTCCTGATGAACTAATAGGTTGAATAAATATATTAAATGATAAGTCACTTGACAATCACTTGTCGCTGCCAACTGGCGTAATGTGAGCTGCAGAAAACGTCACTAAAAATTCTCCACAACTAATGCTACAAAACCCTGACAGACTGAAAGTGTTGCTATTCCGCATTCATTCTAGAGAGAACATTGCTTGTTGTATATAAACAAAATATAAAATATAAAAAATCTTGTCTAAGTCTTACCTTTATCATTACATACACACACTATTGAGAGAATGCATAGAGGCCCATCTATAAAAAATGACAACAAGCCATGTGAATTAGGCAACGGCCCCAACAGTGACTGTGTGTGTAGTTTCATACCTTGTCGTAAACACGATTCAGAAGACGAGGAACCACTGGGAATACAGTAGGCTGCAGGGCTTTCATGTCGTCTGGAAGAAGTCTGATATCACCTTGGAAAAACCCGACTCTTCCCCCGACACTGTACAGCACTGTCTGATACACATAAATAAGAACAAGCAAGCATGACTTCAGTCAGTGTTCTTCTTCTGTAAAAGAAATGTGATTTATAAAAGATTCTAGTACATGACACTGAAAATTTGAAAGGCCTTCAGCAATGTTTCATTAAAGATGATGGTGAGCATCGGACATGAAAAAGCGGCTTACCTGTACAACTCTTTCAAACATGTGCGCCAGCGGCAAAAACGAGATGGACACGTCGGATGGAACGGGCACAAAGACGCTCTGAAGAAACATCGGTTTGGCATCCAACATTAAAATTCTACACACCCATAGAGACTTTGTAAAAATCATGTAGCCATCACACATACAGCACCTCAAAGGTCTTAACCACGCCGGCTGCATCTGCAACCACATTTTCATGGGTCAGCATGGCTCCCTTTGGATCCCCTGAAGCAGAGAATTCCCAATTAAAGCTTCTACACATAGAACACACCACAGAATTCACTTGAGGTGGAGCAGCATTGGCTTCACAGATATAAATGTGGCCTGCAGTTTTTTTGTGGTCTTGAAGCAGAATAGAATAGATTACATCACACTTACCTGTGGTTCCACTGGTAAAGCAAATAATACTTAGGTCCTCTGGTTTTGGTGGCTGGAAAAAAAATCAAGGCGCACTGAGTTTGTCAAATACTATTTGCTAAAAAACATTGCAATTCATAATTAACCAATTACTCACAACAGGCCTGTGATGGTTGTTCTTTCCCAAGGCCTAAAAAAAGCATGCAGATGTTTTTAAATATATATTCTGTTCTGCAACTTTGAAAGATATCAGAGCCTTTAATATTTTGTATTATTGTTTTATTATTTATTACTTATCATATAGCGCTGTCAGTGTACCTCTACATCTTTCAGGGACAGGATTTCCACACCACTCTTAGAGCCTCTATCAATCAATGCAGAATCATAGGGGTCCATGAGAATGATGGTTTTCAAGACAGGTGTGAGGTTTTTCTCACAGTTATCCAGCAGCGTTTCTGCCTTATCCTGCTTATCACATATCACTGTGGATATCTTTGCTGCACAGATAAATAAAGTGCTTATAAAGGTCCAATAAGATGTAGCACAAAATCACTGTGGTATTAACACTAAATAATACCTTAAATTAAATATGTTAAATGAGGAAGTTATATGGTAAGCATAAAGGTAAAGATATTATTACACTACTGTTCAAAAGTCTGGAGTCAACAAGGTTAATTAAGTGACAGTAAAGATATTTATAATGTTAAAAATATTTCTAATTCAAACCAATTCCATTCTTTTAAACTTTCTATTCATCAAATAATCCTGAAAAACAGTAACAGCACTGTTTTCAACATTGATGAATACGAGAAATGTTTCTTGAGCACCAAATCACTATATTAGAATGATTTCTGAAGGATCTGGGGCTCTAGTTGCCACCGCAGGAATAAATTGCACTTTAAAAGATATTTAAAAAAAGGAAAATATTTATTTTAAATTGTGATAATATTTCACAATATTACTGTATTTTCCATCAAATACATAAAGCCTTGGTGAGCATAAGAGACTCCTTTCAAAAACATTAAAATATACTACCCACCCCAAACCTTTGAATGGAAATGTATACTGCATGCAGCAATAATATAGCAATATCCTAATTAATGATTAAATTAAAGATGATGTGTGTAATTTGCAACTAGTGTCACCAAACGGAGCTCGAAATGTTTTCAAGCAGGTTTCCCCAAACATCCCCAACCTTCCTTTAAACATATAGTCCCACCCCAAACTCATCTCATTGGCTGAGCCAGAAGCTGACGTGTCGGATCATTGAAACAAACACGGCAATGTTTCAATAGCTCTGCTCCACGGAGCCTCAGTATTTTCACAAAATTAACCTAAGAATGGCTTACAGTAGTTGTCTCTGCATATTAAACTGCCATAGGAGAAGTATTTCAACATCAAAAAATGACACACTTCACCTTTAATTATAATATCAGTCATTAGTTAGAGAAATAGAAAAATAGTTATATGATTATGTGAAAGTAAGCAAAGCAGCTTGAACTCTGGAGGTAGAAGTAGCAAGGTCACTGAGGTCACTAAAACAATAAAGTCGTCATCTTCCGAAGGATTATAAGTCAGCCGAGTTCAGCAGGTGTGATCTCTAAAGCTGCTCTGACCAACACCTCTAATGAAGCATGCAAGCAAGCAGGCTTAAGTACCTCGATTAATGATGAACACAAGAGCCTCAGGTCCCAAGGTGTCGTAAAGAGGCACTGCCACCATGGAATAGGTATAGCAGGCCAGTTCAGCGATAATCCACTGAAAAGAGGGAAGAGAGGTTAGTATATGTACAGTACACTGGATCATCACTAGTGCATTAGGATATATTTAATTTGCCACATACTGTATGTTTTGTATTTGTTTAATGCATAAATAGCACTAAATTCTATTATATCTATGCTTAAAACAGGAAGAAAAAAAATCTAAATTGAGTAAGAAAAATTAACAAGCCTTAATATTTTCAGCCATTTTTATCTTGTTTAAAGGATGTTTAGATATTTTTAGTGGGAAAATAAGACTGATATATCAGTATCGATTTTGATTGACATTTAGGCTTATTATGTCACCTCTGGCCGGTTCTGGGCGAAGATACCAATAAATGAATCTTGCGATGGCTTCTGACCGCGATGGATAATTCCGGACCCCAAGAATTCAGCTCTGTCTGAAACCTGAGACAATCAGAGGCAAGCACTGAAACAAAGACCTCAGCTGTCCTCACTTTTGAGCTCAAAATTATGTTTGTGGTTGGTACAAATACCTGTTTGTATTTAAGCCATTGATAAAGTTGTCCCTTCTTCCTGTACCCCAAGCACGGTCCATTTCCTGCACGGTACAGATGAAATATCTCACAGACTAATCATGTGTGACTAAAGATTAGATGCACCAGAGATGTCAACTAACATAGCTAGCATGAAAATAGGACTTGATTTCATTTCAAATGAATGTCAGCATTCCGTGTTACTGTAAATTTTGACCTCATGACCTCTCACCTGAGACACGTAGTCCTCTTTGAAAAACATCATATAGAGTTTTGGCATCCTCATATAAGTACGAGATCAAGTTGTCATCTTTCAAGAGTGTTGTTTTTCTAGCACCACCCTGTAAATAAATATTTGCCAGTAATATTAAACCACGGAAGTGCTAAAAGACATTTAGAACCATAAAAAATCATGCACAAGAACACCATGAAGTGATATACACACATTGTACAGTATACACACTACCATTCAAAAGTTTGGGGTCAGTAAGATTTTTCTTTTGAAAGAAATTACGGTAATACTTCTACTCAGCAAGGATGCATTAAACTGACTAAAGTGACAGTAAATTCTTTTACATTGTCACAAAAAATTCTACATATATATTTTTAATGCTGTTCTTTTGAAAAAAAAATGTATCATGGTTTTCACAAAAATATTGAGCAGAACAACCGCTTTCAACATTAATAATAATAATAATAAATGTTTCTTAAGCATCAAGAAATCAGCATATTATAATGATTTTTGAAGGACTATTTGACATTGAAGACTGGAGTAAAAACTGCTGCAAATTCAGCTCTTACCATCACAGGAATAAATTACTTTTAAAATATATTGAAATAGAAAACAGTTATTTTGAATTGTAAGAGTATTGCACAATATTACTGTATATACTGTATTTTTCATATGAGGGCACCAGCCATATCAGTAGCCTTCAAATGTTTTTATTTATTGTTTATATTTTATTTATGTTTAACCAAATTTATACTTTTGCTACCTTTGTATCTTACATGAACAGTTATTCATACTTTTTTGGTTTTTCTGTTGGGTTTCAGTGCACATTCCAAACGCTGATCTTATTAAAAAGTCACAACACAATGCTAATTCCTTAAGTACTTTTGCATGTGCAGATTTATTCACAAAACTGGACATTCCGACTAAATCACTCACAAGACATTTTAAGAAGACAAATGATTGATTTATACCATAATAAATTATATTGCGTACAGCTGACAAAAGATCACACTCACCGCTACACCCACAGTCTGTCGGTTGAGGTCTGTGGGTGGCTGCAGTGGTTTTGGCCTGGTGTTGAGATGGACCAGAGCTACAGCTGCGAGACTAAACAGAAACACCAGTCCTGAAGTGGACAGCGGGGTAAACAGGAACTCAAACAAGAATTCCATAATGTACAGGATCTGCTGAAGTTGCTAAAAAAAAAGTAAACAATATTGAAAAAAAATCTAGAATAACATGAAGGGTCAGTTTCATACATAACATAGTATTTTAATTTACTTTTATGTGGTCATATCTATATAGGCGAATAAACAGGAAGTTCAAGGTCCCTGTAATCACATTAGTGTTGTTTTGACGCTGCACTGATTAGAAGGTATTGATGAAGACAAATATCAAATATCATGACCTTTGGGGGTGAAGGTTAGAGTGCATAAGTTCATTCAAAGGTTAAAGAGCACAATTCCAATTAAGAAAAATATGTCTCAAAATTAAGCTTTTTTTCGCAGTGAAATTCCTTCTTAACATTCTCCAGTGATACCGGTTTTATCGTTCAACACCTGTTGCTGTTCCACATGATCTCCAGTATTGCACACATGGCTATTATAAATGCTATTGGATTTGATTACATTATCTACCCAGCCATGCATTTATGGAGGCCAAAGTCTAGCAAAGGTTTTATAACCCTTTTCCGCCTCCAGAGCATCCACTACCCTTTCTAAGTAGTAAGAAATGTTCTTTTATAATACATTTTATGCATATATTTGAGCATAGCTTAAAGACTCACACCTATGTTAATATATTAAGCGTAATTTTATTTATTGATCAGAACATCTCATTGTTCAAAACATCTGACCCAAGTCACAATGACAAGATCATTTTAATAAAGGAAACTTAAACTTTCTCTGAGAAATCAAGTTATTTAAGAAAAGATTTACGAATGCAACTTCCTCTATGGACACAAGGCCTTTTTGTTTGCAAAACATAGTCCTGTTTTTTAATTTAAAAAATCATCTGCATCATGCAGTTTTTGTTTTAAACATCCATAGCAATAAATGCACATTTATATCAGCACACCATAATCATCATTTAACTGCTTAGTGTTATGCCTAATGTTATGTTTTATATGTATTGGTATATGGATATGCAATTAAACAAATAAAGATTTTTAGAAGCAAGTACCTGGATAACCTGCAGGAGTCCGGTATGTCCGTCAGGTGATGGAACTGGAAGAAAAAGTCCCGCGAGGCAGTCCTTTGCATAGGTTTGCTGAAGCCACAAGAAGACTGAGAAGGAAGGCATGGTCTCAGGTCCAATAAAACAAGCACATGAGTGACCTTTGAACCAATTGCTGCTATCTGTTCCCTGATAATACAAATGACTGAACATAAACAGAATCATGGCTATACAGCTAAATCCTGTAAAGTAAATGTGTGTTGCACAAGATTCACAAGTTTGTGCTTTAATGTCTGCATGCTAAAAACATACAAATGTGAAACTACACAGTGCTAGTATGAAAAGTGGACTATGACATCTGCCTTTGCTGGTCAGTGTGACATTGAATTGCATGCAGTGTTAAAGCTGGATTGAAAGTTGCTCCCACTCAAATACTCAGGTTTTCATCATGTTTACATATTACTCTGGTGGTTTGCAGTGACATTTTGCTGATTCAGCCCATCATTTACAGCTTCTCAGCTTAAAGTGACTATCAGGTAGGCCACTGGGACCCTAAAACCCTTGTTAGCAAGAGAACAGCATTAGGCTACTCATGTCACACCTCCTATTAGCCGCCTCAGTTAAGCATGACACATGATCTTACGAACGCACACTGTTTTCTAACCTCATTTGTCTCAGCATCATTATCACAGCAGTTTAGGAAGGACATCCCAGCTGAACTTTGACATTTGACTGTAATGACAGATAAGATGTGAGCACCTTTGGATTTTGTAATCTGTTCTGATAATAGACAATGAAATTAAAAGAATGAGAGCTGTCAAGGCCTCTGTGGATTTGGTCAATTTAGGTCAAACTTGAAGTGATACATACACACAAAAATACAGATCTACATACATATGTGTTTTCATCATGTTAAAATTGTACCATTTTAATTTTAATATAAATTATATATGTGTGTGTAATATAAATTATATATGTGTGTGTGTGTGTGTGTGATTTAAATATGCAAATTTTGACTTGTTAATGCTTAAAATTTGTTAACAATTTTAATATTTAATTAATTAAATTATAATTAAAATTTATAAATATATTATACATCATGAATTATTATTAATTAAAAGTTATCATATAAAATGCCATATATATATATATATATATATATATATATATATATATACAGTGTATGTGTATGTGTATGTGTGTGTGTGTGTGTACAGTATATATACAGTGTATAGCCATTTTTCTTACATTTTTGTTGCTTTATATGCAGCAGAACTTGAGCTGGCATGAACTTCAACAAGTTTGTTTAAAACCTATTGATCCATGTTATCCCAGCATGATTTGTGAGCCTGAATTTCTTATGGTCATGCTAGTGAAAATTGGCTGAGAACGTGCAAAACGTACACTACAGACAGGTGCTAAGTACTCTTTCTTCAGAGAAACCCCTTGATTGGAATTAATTTCCCCAGGGAAGGTAAGAGTATTTAAATCCCCCTGTATGTCTGAAAGCCGATCAATGTGAGTGAGTTTTATGCAGGTAGGATGTCAGGAGGATTAGATTTTGTCATAAGTGGAGCCTCACGATGGTGGGTGCTGCTTTTTGTTTCTTTATCAGCTCTTACAAACTCTGTTATTTGCAACAAAGCAACCCAGTATAAGCTTACGGTTGGCCTCCAAGCTCCTCGGAACATTTCCTACCCTTTCAGTTTGCTTAGGTTGGGGTCTGCAATGCAGATTGCCATAGACAAGATCAACGCAAATACATCTCTGAGTGGAAATTTCACCTTTGACTTCGTATACACGGACACAGACTGTAACGCAAAATTTTCACTTCAGGGATTCATCGATCAAGTAATGAAACAAAATGTATCAGCGCTATTTGGTCCACCCTGTCCTGAGGAGGCTGAAGTAAGTGTATTGTTTTGATAACAGTAAAGTATTATTATTATTAAGTTTTTAATCTGAGTAAGATTTACGGGGATAGGATGGCTAATTAAGACTTAGCCTACTGAGACCCCACCCGCAAGTAGCTAAATTTTTTTATAACAATGTTTCAACAGTGTTTTCAAACGTTAAGTAGGCTACTAAATGTTAAAATGTATTAGTATTTTCATATATCGCTAAATACGCTCATTAACAGAAGTAGCTTAAATAACCATCACATTCACAATATCGCGCGCTTTCCACTGCGATTAGTTTTTGGCGATACATCAATAAATCATGAAGAAGTCACTTAAAGGGATAGTTCACCCAAAATTAAAGTTCCGTCATCATTTACTCACCCTCAAGTTGTTTCAAACCTGTATGAATTCATTTCAGCTGTTCAACACAAAAGATATTTGGAAGAATGTTGGTAATTCCATTGACTTCCATAGTATGGAAAAAATGGAACAAGTGGAGAGTGAGTATGATGACAGAATTTTAATTTCTGAGTGAACCATTATTTTAATAGAGTTACATTTAGGAGCCCATTAGGGGACATAATGGAAAAGCACAGGATGAGAATAAAAATATAGCATATATTTCAATGGTTGTACATTCACAAAAGTTTTGCATTTCTAAGAGAAACTTTGCATTCACTCGCAGTCGTTTTGCGTTCTCTCATTTTCATTCATTAAAAAATTGCAAATATTAAGTAATATTAATATTAAATATTTTATTAATTAATATTAAAGATGTATTAATATTGGTATTAAATATTTTACCAGATGTTTTATAATTCCTTAAAACAGACAAAATTCTTTTAAAATAGTCCATTCCTTGAAATGATCAAATCTGCACACTGCACATATAAATAATTATATACAATTCTAAAATATATACACATTTTGAATAGATTAATAGTTTTTGCTTATGTCCTTCAGGTCACAGGGCTCATAGCATCCACATGGAACATTCCCATGTTTGGTTTTGTTGGCCAGACACCAAAAATGGATAACATTCTTGTGTATGACACCTATATAAAAATTGTACCTCCACTTAAAAGGGTTGGAGAAATCCTGCTTAAAACACTGGAATTCTTCGGATGGAAGAATGTTGGTATGATCGGAGGCGGTGCAGATAGAAACACATGGGACACTGTTGATGCTTTTTGGAAGTCTGTGGAACAACAACTCAGGGCAAAAGTAACATTGGCAGCTGGCATAAAGTTTGATACCAGTGACCCAAAACTGGCACAGAGAAACTTGCAGATCATCTCTAAAGTTGCAAGAGGTGAGCCAATAAGTAGTACTTATCTTTCAGGTTTTACAATATCTGGGTGGAGTTTACACCTAAAACGTGTAAGATCACAAATGTATCTTGCCCTTATGCCCTCATAGCTTGTTCCTCTTGAAGCTGTTAGTTGGCATAAGATGAGTGAACTTAATCTGCATTTTAACTGTTATAATATCAAAGTCCCTGATAAATGTGCATTGTTTTCAAGCCCTATTCCCTATAGTGCAGGATATGTTGGGCAGTCCTTTGATTGCAAATAGGTTCTGAAATCTCTTGCGTGATAACAATGTACAGCTTCTGCATACTATATGCGTAACATGTAAGTCTTAAGCCTAAATAATGTTTCTATGAGATTATAAAATGTTAGTGTTATTCTGCTCATTCTAGTGGTTGTTGTGCTCGCTAATGCTGAAGACACCACGTCTCTGATGATAGAAGCACAGAAACAAGGCCTAATGAATGGAAAGTATGTTTTCCTTCTGGTTCAGCAGTTTGAGGTCAGTGGCAGAGTGGTGAGTAACTGAATAACATATAATGCTTCAATTATGGCAAAAATATTCTCTAAAGGTTTCAAATAAAAAAATGGATAAATGCTAAATATCATTACAATTCATTGCTGTATTTTATATATCTAGTTAGAGATACATGCCTTTTTGGTGTATTCTTTTTGTAAACAAAACAAAAAAAGGTCAGCACAGATGTATCCTTCTCTGCCACAATCCTGTATATTCAATTCCCTGACAACTGAGCTGAAAAAAATAAAGATGCCATCTACACGGTCAATGGTCAGTTTGTGTGTAAATGTACATTTTTCCACTTTTGATGTCCAACTTTTTCCACTTTTGATGTCATTTTTCTAGACAGAAATTAGAATTGTAGTAATTAAATATGCGCTCAGTTATCTCTCTCTATTAAGATTTACACTGTTATGCTGCCTCAGAAGCCCATCCGAAATCAGTTTTGGGAGGTAACTTTGTGTGCAAACACTGCCTGCAAAGTCATTACCTGATAGGGCAGCGAGGCAACAAATCAGCTGCTTAAGCTGTCGGACACAGCCGATGTCACTGTAATTAATAAAACAACGTATGTAATTCAGACATGTATTGAGTTAGTGGACATTTGTGGATATGTGTAAGTATTTGAACTGAATCAGATTACTACTGTGACAATTCTTATTTACCTAAACAGATACCTACTCTCACCTTTTACCTCATTAGGATAACCTGTGGAAGACTGTTGGTGATGCAAATAAAACAACAGTGCTGAAGGCTTTTGACATGGTTTTTGTACTTGCTCAGAAGTCCTATGAAGGGTATGACTACTATGACTTCTTCAAACAGGCTTATGAGAGATTAAAAGGGGCACCTTTTTACAGCAACCTGTCCTCAGAAAAAGAGGTGAGAATATTTTATGGAAAAAAAAAAAAATTGTGACCCTTAAAATTTGATCAACTTTTAATACATTTTATATTATCTATTTGATGTTTTAGGTCAGCTCCTACGCTGCCTATTTACATGACGCTGTTCTACTTTATGCCATGGGCCTTAAAGAAGCCTTCAAAAATGGTAAAGACATCCGTCATGGACGAGAGATTCTCCAGAAGCTCAGGGACAGGGCCAACATTAGGTTTTATGGTAATTTTGTCTTATATACATTTGTATTTTTCCTATTGATTGCAAATAACCAAAATGTTTGTTTGTGTTGTTTTTTTCAACAGGGGCTTCAGGTCTGGTTCACTTTGACGAATATGGAGAGAGGAAGCTTGACTATTCAGTATATGACCTACAACAAACAGAAACTGTCACAAAATTTGTGTCTGTTTTGGACTTTGACAGCAATTCGAAAACGATCAAGTAAGACC